GGACTAAAACTTGAAAATATAAGTTATAAGACAATTAAAAGAACCATCGGTTACAAAGTTAGTCTGATTCTTTCACTGTCCTTGATTTCTTCAATGATGGTCTGCTATGTGTATGTGTAAGCCAAATAAATCCTTTCTTCCCCAACCTGTTTTTGATCATGGTTTTCCATCACAGCAATAGAAACCCTAACTAAGATAGTTGGGTTTTTAAGTAAATGTCCCCAGTCTCTCTATGGTCTAATCAGAGATGGCAGATGTCATGGGCATGGTCAGGCAAATTCATGGGCAGACGACAGGTGTTCAGTGGGTTAATCAATATCTAAGAGAAAGCCAGAATGCTGCTGTGGGAACACTTGATCAGTGGTGCTCTAACGATGGCTGAACTCCTGACGGAGAAGAATTCATGTGATCATCTGTCATGGTTTACACCATACAAAAGCAAGGTTTATAGGGAGAAGTGCTTCTCTGCCCCCATGAACAATTACTGGTTAATTTTTTGATCTTTGGTAGGTACAAATCTGAGTTAGATGCACACAATGGAAAACTCCCCAAAACCCTGAACTCCTGGTGGTGCTTCTGCCTGGCCATAGGAAGTAGGTTTTGCTGTGGGTGGAACCAGGAGTCTAGATGGACCCGTGACAGCTGTTCTTTTCTTCTCAAAGGAAAGTTTGAATTTCCAGCATGTAACGGGTGCTTGGACAGTGCAGCTAGAGGATAGGAGGAGTGCCTTGCCTCTTCCAAGCTCGTCATTTTCAGGAGTAGTGCCAGCACACACGTGGCCTTTAAGGTTGAAAATGTGTAAATCACTGGGGATCTTTCTCTTTCCTTTCCTCCCAAATGCAAGTCGGTTGTCCAAGTGGGCACCACCTACCAGCGCCTCCGTGCAGCCCGTTTTCATGCCTGTTTGCTGTTGAATTCTTTCCAGCCAACAAAAGCCCAATCGTACCATGTCACAGCCCTACACCAAACTCTCCAGTATCTTCCTTCTGACCTGTGTATAAGCCCTACATTCTACCAAGGCCCTGCTTGATCTGGCCTCTTCCCACTTCACCAGCCTCACTTTGTGCCCTGGCACCTAACTGTTCTCTTTGTTGAATTGATATCTTCCCACTTAGGACTTGCTATAAACCAACCAATGATAAAGATTTGTTAGGTAGATAGATGAGGGCTGGAAGATAAATAGATGGATTGGTGATTAGAGAAATGGTTGAATGATGAATGGATGGGAGATGGATAAATAAAGGATTTATAGACAGGTGGACGAACAGAGGGACGAAGTGACAGAGGGATAGGTGGGTGGAAAGATGACAGGAGTAAACGGATGGATAAGTGGGATAATGGGTGAATGACTGGGGCTTGTGGCTGGCTGCCTAAATGAATGGCTCTATGGGTGGGTGGGTAAATATATAAATGGATATATATAGGGATGGATGCATGAATGAAGGGATGGATAAATGAATGCTTGTACACAGGCTAGATAAATATGTGGACAGATGATGATGAGTAGCCATGTTTGATCAGAAGATGGAAGCCGTCTCTTGGCCAAAGTTCATGGCCAACCTATGAGCGCCAAGCTGTGGGGTGCTCCCCTTCACTGGTAGTGAAGAAGTCACTGGTGGTTCTGGCTTCTGTGCCGTGAGCTTTGGAGAGACATGGGAGCCCCTGGCACAGCCCAGCCCAGTCTGAAGCACACACTATAGCTCCCTCCCCATGGCTGATATGCCCATTTGTACTTGTGCCTCTTCTTTAATCTTTCACTGGTACTTCAACTTCCCTCTCGCATTTTAAATTTCCTCTGTTCAGGTGGTTGTCTAAGGCAGGGTGTGTGTTTCCTCCCTGATCACTCTCATCCCATCAATCAGTTCTGTGGAACACACAGTCTACCTCCTTGGATCTGCAGCTCACAGAGAGCCATCACCCCGGCTGTCTGATGCTTCTTGTTCTTGGTGCATTTTGATTTATTAAACATTTTTTCAGTAAAATTCTGCATACGTTTAGCACATGGAAAGCCCTCTCCCTCCCACAAAATAGAAAACATGAAAGAGGGAGGCATCTAGAGATTTGGGTGTCTAGACTTCCCGGTTTCTGAATACAGTGCACTTTCAATATTTTCAAAGCCTCTTCACTTTGTAGCAGGAGACTTCTCTAAAATGAATTTCTAGATACTTCCTGGCATTGCTGGCTTCTCAAAGTACATATGTATGCTGGCTCTGTGTTGCGTGAACAACAGCCTGGGTTGGCATCAGACAGCCAATAGAAAAGCCATTGACTTGCTGAATTATTTTGGGAAAGTTGCTTAACCTTGCTGAGTCTGTCTTCAATAAGTTTTATGCTTAAATGAGCGAGATATTTGAAAAATTGTCAAAACAACACATAGTTTGTACTACTTTTCTTTCAATTCTTTTTCTACCTTAAATTTTTCTTTGTGGGACTGGGGACTGAACCCCAGACCTCATCTCTTCTAGGTAGGAGCTCTATCCCTGAGCTCTAGCCCTATCTCTCTCTTTACCTTTTGTTTTGAGACAAGTGTCTCACCACATTGTCCAGGCTGACCTTTAATCCTTGGCAGCCTTGGCTTTGAGCGCCTGATCCTCCTGACTCAGCTTCCCAAGAGAGTACATGTGTACAACCATGCCTGGCTTATCCGTTATTTCCCAGGGAAAGTGTGCGTTGTTCTCCAAGTGGGCACAACAGCCTATGGAAACTTCACAAAACCAAGGCATCGAGGAGACAGCAACAGGCGCTCAGACAGATGCTGTCCAGCTGCGTAACGCCTCTCACCAACACACATTCCTGCACTCATTTAAGAAGTCCCTGTGCACTGGGCACCATGCATTCTAAGGTACACTGGAAACCATCTCTGCGGAAAATCTAACAGACACTCGTGAAACTGGGACCTTGCCAAAGTACCTGGCAACCAGAGAGGAAGGCATGTGGGAAGAATGGTGAGAATACATGGTTATCAGCCAACATGGCAGGACATGAGTCCTCATGCTCACCATGCATGCCAGCCACAGACCTTATATAAAGTAACAGCAATTTTCATCTGGGTGATTATCATCATCGATGTGTGTGTGTAGCATAGGCTTTGAATGTGTATGTGGAGATAAGACTGGTCTCACTCACAGCCCTTGCATTTGAATTTTGGTGTATTTGTTGTGACATGGGCACTATTAGGATATACCTTACGTGGGTTAGGATGGGCAAACTGTGAAGGTAGCCCACCCTCCAGTGTGTACAGCGGGATCTTCCACTGTTACCATCTCTGGGTGCAGTACCAAGCCAGCCAGGAAACAGAGGGGGATTTATCCAATGTTACTGTTTCAGGTCACACCAAGAGCCCAGTTGGTCAGAATAAAGATTGTTCAAAAAACACTTCAAATAAATGAACAATACCAAAGGCAGACAATTAAGTACTAAACAGACACTTCTGGCCAGTCTGTGCAAAATTAAAGCTGTGGGAAGAAGGCTGGCTGCTTACTGCCTTGAATATGGACGTTCAGGCCTACACAGCCAGAGGCAGCTCACCAGTGGCTGAGCTGTGCTCGCAAAGTGACTTTTCCCTAAATGTAACATGAAAATGCCTGAACAGTCAGCCTGAGGACTGACAGGAACCTCTCCCTGGGTAGCTTCATGTCTCTGTGCGTGCTGCAGAACTGCTCTGTGGGCAAAGCCATTCACTACAAGAGTGAGCAGGGCAGAGACGTAGCTCCCAATGCCTCTTTCCAAGAGAGGCCCTCGTCATTAAAGAGGCTGGCAGCTGCTGACCTCATAGTTGGCTCAGGTCTGTCTATAGCCTCTAAAAGATCTGGCGCTGTGCTTGGGAAGTGGTGTAGACCCCAGTCCTTCAGCTATCACTGCCCTATGTATGGAGCAGACAAACAGGCTCCTGAATCTGAGAAGACAGGACAATGTGAGTCTGGATGAAACTTGGTTTATGAATTGGATTGGGATTAATTTTCTTGGAGCATCTCTCTACCCTGCAGCAAATGAATGACTTTCTTGGGCCTCACGAATCCTAAGCTGTAAACTGAAGTTCATTTGGCCCATTGAGATACCACTGTTACCTGGGGCTGACATGGCTGGAAGTGCCCTGTCAGAGCATACGGTCAGTTCTCTCCTTGTTCCTCTGAGCAGCTAGTTCATAGACTGTTGCGTGTTGATCATGGGGCGTAACTGTGCTCTGTGCCCTGCAGCTCCTCTGCCACTGACATCCCTGCTTGTCAATTTGCCTGGCAATGGGCATTTTTGTGTTTTGAGTAGCTCTGTGTCTCTGGTTATGTTGCCCTCTGACCTGCTGACTGAGAGGCGTGAAGAGGGTGTGAAAGGGGTGTGAAGCCGTCTGCTTGTACACCTGTCCAGTGGCTACCATCTCAGTCTTCTCAGCTCCAGGCCTGTGGCTGAGGCCTACCACACCTGTGCCCGGCCCAGTGCAGCCAGCAGCTTTTCAGGCCCGAGGCTTCCACTGTGACAGACAGTCCCTTTCCCTAGAGTGTCATTGCTGCCCGAGGCTCATCAGTGTTGCCACACTGCCTACAGGACAAAGTTCAGATGGGTTAATGTGACGCGAGGCCCTGCTGATCTGTTCCCGGTAGCATGTGCTCTCTCTGCCCTCCCAGCCCAACCTCCTCCAGCCATCTCCACTAACGTCTTCTAGTGTCTTTGTTTCTCAGACTCAGGGCTCGCTGCTGAGGGAGGTCCTCTCACTTTCTGGGCTGGGAGAGTCCCACACATATTCTAAAACCTAAGCTCAAAGGTCCTATTTTCCCCAAGATTCATAGCTAGCTCTCCACCTACAGATGGGCCCCATGGCATCTTGCCTTGCTGTGGCCTTAGGCCTCTGGTGTGTCACTTGTGGGGAAACTTTTGGGCCTAATACTGGTTAGTTTGTGCACAGTATTGTCTGCTAAAGTTATAAGCATCGAGGCATCACTTTAAGGATAGGAGGTGAGAAGGAAGGAGAAAGAGAAACAGCAAGGCAAGCTTAGAAACAGGGAACCTGTGCCCCAGAGGTGTTGTAGGTGTGGCTGCTGTGCCACATGTGAGTCAGTAGGAGGCACAGAGGAGAGGCTCTGCTTACTCTCAGGGTCTGACCTATGAACGTCTGAATGATTGATAGCCTAACATTCCCTGAAAAAGGGGAGCCTGAGATAGCCACCAGTCCAACACAGGCAGGCCCAGACTGGCTCCCAGGATAGGGAGCAAGCCAGAGACTAGAAGAACCCCCCCCTCACCTGGCCCTGTGGGCCCTAGATGGGAATGAGCCTGAGACAGAGGACCTTTGCAAGGGGCTACTTGGGTGGGCCCAGGTGAAGAGAGAGCTTGAGAGGACCACCATACCAGCACCATGGGGCCAGATCTGGAGCTAGTCTGACATGACCACCAGTGGACAGCGGGGTAGAGTTGACCCTGGTTGCAAGGTTTATGGGTTAGCTGGCTGAGCAGCTGGGATACCTCTCAGGTCCAGATCAAGGCTTTGAATTGGCCCACCCCAACAGAAGGGGCCAGTCCTGCGACTACAGGATATCCAGGAGGAGTCCCCGTGAGGTTCCAGTGTTGATAGAGTAGCAGAAGCCAGAGGCCTGGGATGAGACCAACCAACGATTGCAGTGAGCCTTTGCAAGCAAAGAAACATGGACAAAAGGGTACACTGTGGACACACTGTGACATACCACAGCTTCCACAGAGAAGTTTGTATGTCTGCGTGAGCGGGAAGGCTGCGAGGTGGAGGGCAGGTATGAGGGGAGGAGGAGATGAGGAGGATTGGGGCATGTAATGTGAACTTCACAAAGGACCAATAAAAAGGTTAAAAGAAAAGAAAAAGGACTGCTGGGCCATTTCATGAAAGGAAGGAAGGGAGGGAGGGAGGGAGGGAGGGAGGGAGGAAGATAGGAAAAGAGAGAAAGAGAAAGAAAAGGAAGAGGAAACAGCAGCCTGTGGAGATGGCAGGCCCCAAATTCTGAGTTTATTCAGATGCTGATCTTTAGAGTTCAGTCAACAGGCACATCACCAGCAGCTAAAAATTAAGGGAAACACCAGTAGAGGGGTCTGTGAAAACCAGTTCTCTTTTGCAGGGTTCCCCTGCGTAGCTTAGGCTGATGTTGTTCAAGCTGACCTCAGGCTGGAGGGTCCGCTGCCCTAGCCTCCTCAGTGCCAGGACTAAAGATGCGTGCCACCATGCCTGAGTCTTAAAACACAGACAGGCCTCCCTGCATTCCCGTGCCCATGGTCCTTGGGGCGCTTACCCAGCCTGACCCTCCTCCCTGGCTCCATTCAGATCACTGTCGGTAGCTGATCCTGAGGATTGCTGGGGTTCCCAGGCAGGAACACTGGAGCCACGGTGATCAGGGCTCGGATCATGGGGGCCCTGTTTGCCAATTCTCTTCTTCTATTGTGGTATTTGACATTAACGTGAGATCTTGGAGATAAGAAAGAAAAGGTATGGTTAAACAATTATTTGTCTGTCAAGCTGACAAGGGGTCAACTGTCATGGTTAGTTTTCTTATCAACTTAACATGGGTGACAATCATTCTGGAAGAGGGGACCTCAGCTGAGAAAATGATCCTACTGCATTGGCCAGTGGACAAGCCTGTGGTACCTTTTCTTTACTGACGATTGATACGGGTGGGCTCATCCCACAATGGGTGGTGCCACCTCTGGGTATGTGGTCCTGGATGGAGGAAGAAAGCAGGCTGAGGGAGCCACAGAGAACAAGCCAGGAAGCAGCATCCTCTGTGGTCTCTCCTTCAGTCCCTACATCCAGCTTCCTGTCTGGGTTCCTGCCCTGAATACCCGGGACAATGGAGTTACAGGCTGTACGATGACATTACCCCTTCCCTCCCCAGACTGCTTTTAGTCATGCTGTGTTATCACAGCAATGGGAACCCTAATTCAGACATTAGTGAAGAGATCTGGGTTCAGCTTTGAGGTGATTTGGATTAGGCAACTTAAGTGAAGGCCCAGGGCAGGCACTGCTGAGAGTGAGCAGCACCTGATCACTAGAGATCCCAGCCCTAGACTGTCAACAGCCTGCAGCCTGCACACTTAAAGAGAAGCTTAGCAGCAGGGTCATGTGACATCTTGTGTGTTTTCTCAAGAATCAGACGTTCTTTATCCATCCTTTGTTGTGAGCACCTAACAAATCATCACAGCACACACAGCACAATTCCTGGTTTGTTTTCTAGGAAGAAGTCATATTCTCTTGAAGCTAAGCTCATTTTCCTGTTGCCCTTGGGACCGTGTGGTCACACTGCAGCTAACACACCCCAGAGGCCTTGGGAACCAGCTCTCCTGCCAGGTGGGCTTGTCCTGCTCCCTTCTTATGAAACCAGCTCTCCGTGCTGTTCTTTACAGAGATAACTTGCATATGTTTATACTGCAGATAGCTCCAGATGCCCTGACAGGAGGAATTGTTAAAACTGTGCCCAAGTTTCTGAGAGATTCTTAAGTCAGAAGTGATACTCTGATGAAGGAGTCAGGGCCTCATTCACATCAGGCAAGACTGGTGGGGCTGGCTCAGCCTGGCTTTGGAGAACTGACTGTGCACTTCCGGTCCTCAGACCAGCAGGTTGAAGGCATTCACATGGGGATATTTATAACCCAGAGGTTTCTAGGTGCTGTAAGGGCCAGTTTCAAGTTCACCGGCAGCCACTGCTTCTGCTGGAAATGAGAACCAGAGAGGTCAAGTACATTTCAGTGTCGTGCTGCCCACCGGTTGAGATGTGCTGGGGAGGGCTTCTTAGAAAGCTGTGGATGGGATTTCAGGTAAGTGCAGAATAGAGAGATGAGGAGACAGATCTACACTTAGTAATGCAGATAAATACATTGACAGTATTTCTCAATGTATTCAAAGGGGCTCGTCCATCCCTCAAAACCTGTGAATCCAAACTTCCTATATTAAGAAACTTTGGAGATGTAATTATGTGACCTTTGTAGCAGAAATGTGACTTTGGATATCTGGTGGCCTAGGTGTTTGTTTGTTCGCCTTAACAGAAAGTGGAAAAGCTTTCCTGGCTAGGTCAGGAAGGTGAGAGAGTGAGAGCCAAGCCTGTGAAGACAGAGGGGATCATGCGCCAGCAGGCCCTTGCCAAGCAGAGAAATGGTCCTCTCCTGATAGCTGGTATGAAGACAGAGATCAGTGAGGAAACCAGCCCAGCCTACAGCTTGATTTTAATTAACAGAGACCTGTAGCTCAGTTGGCAGGGTGCTGGCCCAGTGTGCATCGAGTCCTCCTTAACTTCCAGCACTATATAAACCTGCATTGGTACTTCCTGCCTGCATTCCTGGCACATCAGAAGTTCAAGGTCATCCTCAGCTGCATGGGCCAACGACGATACATGAGACTTTATCTCAAAAGAGGGGCAGAGGTAGGCAAGAGGAATTGGAGCGAGAACTCTTTCCAGGGATGTCAAGTGACAAGACAGAAATAAGGACTGTAGGTGACACTGGGGCAACAAGTGCAGACAACCATAGAGCTGGAAGATCAGCAGCAGTGAGAAGGAAGGGGGTCCCGCAGACCTGCCTCCTGCTTCTGCCCTCTCCCGACCCCAGGGCTCCTATCACCTCCTGTCCCGACCTCAGGGCTCCTATCTACTCCCCCTTTGCAGTAAGTTAATCTCAAGAGTGGTAACAAAGTTCATCAGTCTGGACCTGGAGAAAAAGGCAGGATTCGGGCTGCTATAGTCTAAGTGGTTATTTTGATGAGGGAGGGGCATGATCACTCCCTTGCAGCCCCTCCCACCTCCAGAGAAAGGGAAGGAAAGAACAGATTACACTGGCTATTTTTTGCCCTCCTAGCCCCCTGGCCCTTATTGCTGAGAAAAGCAAGCCAAGTGGGAGGAGCTTGGATTATGGGAGGGTACAGCCCCATTCTTGCTCTCTCCCATTTTGCCCACTCCCATTCAGACTTGGTGGGAGGAGGGCGGCTATTTGAATTTCTTGTCTGAAACTCCTCTGTATGGACAGAATTCAATATTTTTCTTCCTCAAAGCTACCATCTACCTATCTGGGATAATTGATTCCTACTTTTCCTATAGCAGTAGATTGAGTTTGTGGAGGAAGCAATTTTAAGTGGCAGATGTGCAGACAGAAACAATCAAAGCCTGAGTGGTTGCTCTCTGAGATTTCTCTCAGCAGGAATTTCTCCCACGAAGGGGTAGACTGCCATTCCTGACAGGCACTGTGGTCATGCCGCCTACTGCTCAGGGCCATGAGATCAACGTCACAGGCTATGTTCCAAGTGAGGAGCTGGGTTCTGGGTCCACTGTTTCAGGCATGTGTGACCTTGGATGAATCCATGCCCAGTGTCGTGAAGTGGTGCTGAAACTAAATACCTGAAGTTGACAACAAAGACTGGCCAGCACACCAAGGAATGCTTGGGAAGTCATTAGAATGGCTCACCGGCTGTGGTCTAGCCAATCCAACAATGGCTGTGTACAAACAGAAAGCCCAAGAGGCTGGCTATCTCAGCTGGTCTTAGTGTGTGCTAGGATCCTGGAGAAGTAGGCTCTGATGCCAGTGGAGGAATGTACTTGCCAGAGATAGTGAGGGCAAGCAGGCAAAGAGCAAGAGCTTCTGTCTTTTGTGTCCTGTGTATAAGCTGCCACCAGAAAGTGTGGCCCAGGCTAAATGTGGTCTTCTGGATTCAAAAGATCCAGATTAAAGGTAAGCCTCCCCATTCCACATTATCTAATGAAGAGTATTCTATCATGGGCGCACCCGCCTGGGATGGGTTTTAGTTCATTTCAGATGTAGTCAAGTTGACAACCAAGAATAGCCTTCACCACTGCCAAGCAGCCTGTTGTATCAGAAGCTCTGTCCCTTTAGAACAGTGGTTCTGAACCTTCCTAATGCTATGACCCTTTAACACAGCTCGTGTTGTGGTGACCCCAACCAGAAAATTATTTTCATTGTTACTTCACAACTGTAAATTTGCTACTGTTAGGAACTGTAATGTAAATATCTGTGTTTTCTGGGTCGTAGGTAACCCCCAGGAAAGTGTTGTTCCACCTCTCAGCACAGGCAGAGAGCTGCTGCCTGAGAATGGGCTTCCTTAGTGTGCTGAGGAAGTGCCTCAAGACAGCATCTGTCTTCCTTGCTCTCAGCTGACTGAGCATCTCATTTGGGTGG